GCCGACCTTCGCCGGCTGGCTCTCCACTTTGGGTTCTTGAACCTGGACGAGACCCTGCTCAACCAGTTCGTCATGAGGATCCAAGAACCTAAGCTTCGCCGTAAGCTCATCAGCCACGAGGAGCTGACCCTAGTGACTGTGCTACGCAAGCCACTGTGTTCCGTGCCATCAAAGAGCTGCTCACCTTGAATGCAGTACTGCTCACTTTGATGAAGCACTCCCATTCGTCTTGGCCTGCGACGCATCCCCGTATGGAGTTGGAGCCATCCTCAGACATCAGCTACCCGATGGCCGAGAGGTTCCCATGGCCTATGACTCCCGCACCTTGTCCTCGGCTGAGCTATGTGCAGATCAACTATGTGCAGATCAACAAGGAGGCCCTGGCAATCGTGGCGTGAAAAAACTCCACGATTACCTCTATGGGCAGCCCTTCAACATTGTGACGGATTATAAACCCCTGCTCGGCATGCTGGCTCCAGACCGCCAAATGCCACAGATGCTGTCTCCCCGGGTGCTGCGCTGGTCCATCTTCCTGGCAGGCTACCAGTACAATCTTTACCACTGCCCCGGGAAGTTGATGGCACACACCGATGCCCTCAGCCACCTGCTGCTGCCCTCCTGCAACCCAGACCCAGCTTCTGCTCACCAGATCCTGCTCCTGGAGGACCTTCTCAACCACCCGCTCCAGGTATCAGGTGTCTCCTGCCGCGCCGCATGGGACCACATCCTCTCCCGTGTTCTGGACTAGGTGGGGAGGGGATGGCCTGCTGGCCACACAGGCCCTGAATTCGTGATGTTCTCCTCCCAATGGGATGAACTGTTGGCACACAAGGGGTGCCTGTTGTGGGGAAGCCGGGTCGTGGTGCCACCTCTGTTGTGGCCACAAGTCTTAGCAGCGCTTCATGAAACACATCCGGGCATTGTACAGATGAAGGCACTGTCCCGCAGCTACGTATGGTGGCCTGGCATGGACAGCGAGATACAGGACTGCATCAAACGCTGCCAGTTCTGCCAAGAGACCAGTTCGGAACCGCCCTGGGCACTACTCGCAACCGTCCTCTTTGGCCAATGGGTGACCCCATGCACCTCTACCGGCCGCAGCCCAGTGGAACTTATGGGGCGATGCCTCACCACACGCCTAGACCAGATGCACCCCAACCGTGCAGCGAAGCATCATGCGGCAGGCATCATGCGATCCCTGAGTATCAAGCGGCACCCTGGGGGGAGCCAGTTTGGTGTAGTGGTTAAGTGCGTGGACTCAAATCTGGGAGAACCGGGTTTGATTCCCCACTGTTCCACTTGCACCTGGCTGGATGACCTTGGACAAGCCATAGTTCTGGCACAGCTGTTCTTGAAAAAGAGCAGTTTCTGTCAAGAGCTCTCTCAGCCCCACCTACCTCACAGGGTGTCTGTTGTGGGGAGGGGAAGGGAAAGGAGTTTGTAAGCGGCTCTGAGACACCTTTGGGTAGTGAATGGTGGCGTATAAATCCAATCTCTTCTCTTCTTCTTCTTTCCGGGCGACCCCGTCTACGCCCGGAACTTCTCCAGCGGCCCCGCCTGGATTCCAGCCAAAGTCATACAAGTCACTGGCCCCCTCTCTTACGAAGTATCCATCGATGGCAGACAGGCACTGAGGAGGCACATTGACCAACTCTGCCACCGTCTCCTCCCTGCCAAGCCGGGCCAGCCCTCAACAACCCCGGACAAAGATGACACAGAGTTGCCAGAGCTGCCGGAGCCAGAGCCAGAGCGAGGGGTACCAGCGTCCAGTGAACAGCCCACAGCCAGTGAAACCCCAGATGGACCAGTGAGTGCAATGCTGGAACAGGCACCAACAGATGGGCCCGAGGTCGCGTTGACACCACCGCTGCCCCTGAGTCCTGCGGCTGCTGCGTCTGAACCAGAGCAAGTAGTCCCGACACTGCCGACAGAACCACATCGCTCAAACCACAAGCAACGCAGGCTATGTGTGCTAGGGTGTTCTGAACCTTGGGGGGGAGGGGTGTTCCGTACTGAACCTAATCTTGTCAGCCCCAGCTTGGGGACACAGAACAATGGACTGCTAGGATCCTGGGATGGACCTATCACCCAGGAGTGCCTCTGTAAATAGCCTATTGTTGGGAGTGGGTGTGTGATGGGTGTGCTGTTTTATGGGCTTATAAGCAGGGCTCTGGCCCTGCTAGAGTCCTCTTTAGTTTGAGCTAGAACCACTAATAAACTATGAGCTAATCACTCAACATGTCTGAACCCAGTATATTTTAGGGAGAATATGTTAAGGTGCATTCTAAACATAATGGCCATGATCAGAGTAGAAAAGAGTCAGAGTTCAGTAGCACCTTAAAGACTAACAAAATTTGTGGTAGGGTATGAGCTTTTGTGAGTCACACTGCTCTGTTCTTCAGATAATTCCAAGTGGTTCTAACCTCTTACACTTGCACAAAAGCTTTCCTTTTTGGCTTGATAATTCTCGGGCTAGAGTCGCTTTCCTTGGATATTCAATTTAAATCACCTGACTGGAGATTATTTGGGGTCTTGTTGACCCCTGATGCACATTTCCCATCAACTTAAAGTTTATTGGAGGTGTACATACATACACATACATATACCAAAATATATGTGGTCTGTATTACTCTAACACAGAGAAAACTCTCATCTAATGAAAACAGCAGTTAAAATAAGGAAAGGGTAATCTCCTATATATAATATATATTGGAGTGGAAAGTGCTGCCAAGTCACAGCAATTTATGGCAACCCCATAGTGTTTTCAAGGCAAGAGACAATCAGAGGTAGTTTGTCATTGCCTGCCTTTGCTTAGCGACTCTGGACTTCCTTGGTGGTCTCCCAACCAAGTACTAATTACTGCAGACCCTGCTTAAAATGTGGGAGCTGACCGATATCTGGGAGGTGCAGTATTTCACGTTCCCCATTCATTTTAATTGTGGTTTAACTGAGCTCAATGACATCTTAATGAAGCCTTCAACTTAAAAAAGAACTCAATGGGACGGGATGTGAAACATTACCAAACAATAGACCACTGATTTTTGCCCCTTTAAGTGGCACAAGGGGGAAATTATAAATGTATTCATATCCTTTTGGGACCACTTGAACCCCAAAATGTAGGAGGATTAAATTGTTTCCCGATTATTCACATTTTTCTGGGTTTGCTCTCTTTTTAACTTGACTGCCCCCTTGTTCTTTATTTTCACCTTCAAACAGGCATCTTCATTATGCTGCCAACAATTCCCCTTGGATCTTGCTGCTGAGGTTTTGAAATGTTTCAGAATGTATTTGTATTTTCAACCTTTCTTGCTAAGATGAATTAACCGGTGTTTAGCTCAAGTGGGACAAGGAGCAGGTTGAGGAATGAAGGCCATATAAAAGATATACCACTCAATGGAGAAGTGAAGTTCATTTGCCCTCTTAGCATGGTATGTTATGCTATTTTCATTGGTACATATTCACTTATATGCCAGGCCAATGTTTTTTTGTGATGCAATTGCACAGGCTTTAGAGGGAAACTAAGGCTGGATCTCTTGTACCCTTGAACTAGCAAGCTGGTTGCTCTTCAAAGCATATACCCGGCACAACATTGATGAGTGGCATTGAAACTAAGTGTAACTAGAGTGTAACCAGTCTGAGGGATGAATTATGTCCGATTCTCTTAAAATAAATGAATTTTCCAAGTTTCTGGGTGGAGCAAAATGAACTAATATCATTGTTTGATAGATAAGATAGAAAGCAGTGAATACGAATGTCATAATGTAGGCTTCTGCAGTGCTGGATCGGAACAGAGATCCATCCATTCTGGAACCATGTTTAGCGTGAAGGGGCTTCTTTTGCCTTCCTTCCCAGTGGAGCTCCTCCTTACTTCCTCCCTCCAGCTACTCTTGAGCACCAGTGGAAACTGTGGAGCAGTTCAACAGTTTGGTATAGTGGTTAAGTGTGCAGACTCTAATCTGGGAGAACCTGGTTTGATTCCCCACTCCTCCACTTGCAGCTGCTAGATGACCTTGGGCAAGCCACAGTTTTGACAAGAGCTGTCCCTGAAAGGGCGGTTCTGTCAAGAGCTCTCTCAGTCCCACCTACCTCACAGGGTGTCTTGTTGTGGGGAGGGGAAGGGAAAGGAGTTTGTAAGCCACTCTGAGACTCCTGTGGTTATTGAAGGGCGGGGTATAAATCCAATCTCTTCTCTTCTTCATGGTAAAAGGAGCTGCCCCTAAGAGCAGGGCATCAGGAGTGAACAGTGATCTCCCCTTGCCTAGAGAGAAATCGCTTCTGCTTTTTGCATCCAAGTCTCTGTCTCCCACAGTGCCAGGTCATAGCCCTGGGAAGCTCTAAAGATGCAGGACAGCAGGTACCAATGTTCCCTCTAAGCTGTGGAGTCTTGTGAGCAAAAATTCTACTTTGTGAGCTACGGGCCTTAAAGTTGTGAGCGAGCGATTTGGGGACTGCATAAATCAGTTTGCTCGGGAGCCGTCCTTCCTGAGCTAAGACAAAAATCTGTGAGCTGGAGGCTAAAAAACTGTGAGCTAGCTCACACTAACTCAGCTTAGAGGGAACACTGGCGGGTACCACCTTCTGCTGTTTGCCCTCAGCAGCTGTAAAAACATTTTTACTGCTGTTAATACATGGAAGTTCCACTGCTTCATGACGAACAGTGACTGATGGATGATTCACTGTGAATCCAAGCAGTCTGCTTATAGATCCATAGGGGTGGAGTGGTGGTAAGCTGCTTTGCTTCTTACATGTGGAACATCTGTAGGTGCCATAAGTCTCAGTTAGATGTGATCCCCAACTATTGTCCTCCGATTCACATTAAAAAGTCTATGAGAGGCATGCTATCTAGCTGGGCCCTTATTTATAGGGCTGGGAGATCGTTAGCGGAGGGTCATGGAGGAGCACTCGCTTTTACAGTCAGACTTGGCTTTGGAGAGATGAAAAGGAATATTTACACCTACTGAAATGAAATAAATTCAAACAAGACTCTGCTGTATGATAAAGGGAAATGGAATTTATTGGGTTTTTAATATCCCTACAGTCAGGATATCTGTATCAAAATATTTACAATGACTGCACATGGAGAAATGGCAAGTACAATACTAGAACATATCCACCAAATTCCAAAAAGCTTACATGTAAAAAGAATATAACAACGAGAGAAGGGAAATACTGTTTATACTAAGCCTGCAGCCTTGAATTAGGCCAGACTTGAATGTGATGCTGGTGAGGCAAAAGAGCTCCCCCAGGGGGCTTTTACACGTGCACTGCACTGGCTACATGGGTAAAGTTTGCATTCTGGCACAGGATCCACAAGGGCTACAGATTTCTGGCTTGCAAAATAAGTACACGCAGTAGTTTTGCACAGGTTGCAGCAAATCAGGCTGCGAAGTCGTGCCAAGTTGTACAGGGGAGCTCTTTCTTTGCTTCGCCTGCCTCACATTTAAAGCTAGCCTTTTTTGTCACCCCCTCACACAAGACTGAGTGGGATGAAGTGGAGGGAGGGTCAACCAACTTCTCACCACTCGCTACCAAGACGGATCTAACTGGCAGGAGTACCCGGCCTGAACATCCTGATGCAGACAGTCAATATGACACTGTAATAAATCCTTTCTGTTCCCGTGCAGCCATTTCCTGCTTGGATCTCTGTTTGCCAAATGTAATGAGCTGACCTTCTTCTCACCCCTCTGGAGGGTCACATTGTGTGCACTGACAGTACAGGGGAAAATTGAAGATTGATGCAACACCGTGAAGGTCCTTCCCCGAAAGGAATAGTTACAGGGAACCCTGGTTCGGGTGGCCAGTTCTAACCTATGGGGGAGAATTATTCTGCAATACTAAGGCCCCTCCTCCACCCAGGACAGATCATAGTTTCAGTGCAAGATCCATGAGTAGCAACCTTATCCTCTGGACAGAAGCACACCTCCCCCTTTTTTAGGTATCAACAATGACAGGAGAGTGTCACAGTGACAGGACTAGAAGGGGCCCTTCCCATCTCATTGATTGTAGACTATGTGTATCACGGACAGACCTCACAGTTCAGTGGCATCAGTGGGACATTGGGAGGTCTTCAGGCTGCAGGGACATATTGTGAACTGTAATGGAAGTCCCATGCTAATGATCCTCTTTCCAGCATTAAGAACCCCATCCTGTAGGACTGTTTGCCCGTCTGTTTCTACCCCTCCCTGGCCTCCCCTCCACCACCCACATTCGTCTTTCTTTCATCCCCTCTTATTAGTTTTTCTTCTAATCTCTTCAGCACCAGTAGTCTCGTTTCCTTCTTAAGAATGCAACGTGGAGGTGGTGGAAATAGAAAATGTAATACTGGGATTCGGTCTCACTACAGTCAGGTTGCTTCCACTTACATGTAGCTAGGGGATTCTGTACCATCATTTTAGTGGGCACGAAATTTGACACCTCCCACAATGAGTGGGACTAGCTCACAGAGAGCATGGGGGGAATGCATGGCAGCTGCTGAAGGTTTAGGGAAGAAAGCTGAAGAGCTTGTATCTCAAGTAGTTTGCCTGTCATCGGAGAGGCAGAAAATTTAAGATTCTTTACAATGGAATTGTGCAAGTCATTTTGAGAGCAAGAAGACAGCTCCTGGCTATTTTGGTGGTTCTTCAAGCATCTTCATGGTCCCGTTTATCCATTACACATGGAGGGCCCAGACCAGGTTTTCTCTCTCTGGTGGATTCATGTCTGGGATTGGGCAAGTTAGCTGAGCAGTGTATGATTCATTTCTTTTGGCAAACCGTTCTCAGAGCAAAAATGACTTCACATCCCTCCCACAAGCCCCCCCCCCCGATATTTCCGATCCTCCCACCCCATTTCATCCTCAGAGCCCTCATTTCTTTCTGAGCACAAGGTACAGAACACCAATGATGAAGCTGAAGCAAAAGCAGATCCAAGCCAGTATGAAAGAGTAGCCATGGTGATACTGGCTTGATTGGGTAAAGTATTGTGGGAATCGGGCTGTGTAGATGGAGGTAGCGATCGTAATGCATAGCCCTGTGAAGAGAAAGGGGGGTGGGGACGACAAGAACATCCAGATGATCACAGATGCCACAGTGGTAACTAAAGGGAATGAGCCCAGAAGGCAAGTGAGATGGACAGATTGACAAGGACTGATTCCCAGGTCTGATCTGAACATGAAAAACATTCAAGTAGAGGGTTCATTGCTAAATTTTGTGTTGTAGCAGACTGTTACAGTAAGGCTTCGAACACTTGGTATTGATGCAGTAACTCATGTCAAAGGGTCCTTATTCTGACCCCTTGCACAGGTTCAAAGTCTCCCTGAACATTTAGGAATAAATCTCCTCTGGATTAGCCCAGTGAAACCATGGCGGCGCCGTAGTTGCCAACCCAGTCACACATGTGGGGTACTTTGACGCATACAGGGATTCGTAGGTTAACCCTAACCAGATTTCCAGGGTTGTTGTTTTTTGTTTGTTTTTAGGAAAAATGAAAGAGGAATTTTGTCAACCCAAAGGTGAGCAGCTCCTGAAATGTAAACCTGCATCAGAGCATATGTGATGGGCCAGAAAAAAGTTCCAGTGCTCTGTCTCTGAGTGCAGCCAACTCTATGTGCCAAGAAGCTTCACAAGCAGAGCATGGCGATAAGTACCATCTCTGTTCCTTGTCTCCAGCCTTCTGGTCATCCGGGGTCTGCAGAGGTGGACTTAACCAATGGGCAAAAGTGGCAGCTGCCCCCGCTCCCGTGCTTGGAACGTCCACAACTGCCCACAGTCCCACCCTGTCAAAGAAGGGGGGGGGGGGGAAGAAGAAGAGCAGGCTCCTGCCGCCACTTGCACCTGCCCTGTCTGGGGCTCAGGCGGCTGGTTCCCAGTGGCTATGATGGCTCACACCCACTTTGCATGAGGCAAGCACCGCACCTTGCTTGGCCCTGGAAGCAAGGTAGTAGCGGTGTTGGCAGTGTTTCTGTAGCCCCATCCTGGACTTTTTGCCCAATTTGTTCTATCTGGAAGTTGTAAAGGGAAAAAAGAGGTGGAAACTCCAAATGTGTTGAGCTGTTTTCTGAAAATCAGAACCAAATCCTTCAGCAGCTTTGTGTGTAATCTCTTCCCCAAAAAACTAGCACCCATCCAGAGCTTTTGTGATAGCAAATTCTATACATTCATTATGTGCAGAGAGAAGAAATATTTCTTTTTGTTCACTCTCAGTTTACTGGCAAGTAATGTCATTGGATGACCCTGAGCTCTAGCATTTTGATTGAGAGTAGAGTATTTTCTCTCCATTTCCTCTATGTACACAGTGTTCATAATTTTAGAGATCTCTGTTGTATCCCTCTATAATCATTTCCCAGCCTGATAAGCCTTCCTCCATAGTGCAGATGCGTCAGTTCACCCTCCACCCAATCATCTGAAGACTGTTTCACACTTATTCTCTTACAATTTAACCTTATTCATGATGACTCCTTAAACACCAGTCCCAAGGAGTTCAATGAGATCTGCTCTCAGACAAGTGTGCTGTAGCCATGTACTGCAATCCTAAGAACGTTTCCTTGGTAGTAAGCCCCATTGAATAGATGTGAGCAGGAGTCTGAGTAGACCTGCTTAGGATGGCACCATAGGGCTTCCCTATTCCTGTAGTGCACACTGGTTCTGATAGCCAGTACAGAAGACCATGCAGACAGAGCCTCCTTCTATCCAGAGGTCATTTCGGGGGGGATCGCAGTTCCCCCGGGTGAGGTATGGGGGCGGGGCACATGATAAAGCCCCGCCCCCTGCTTCCGGCCGCCCCGCTTCCGGCCCTCATTCAGCCAGGAGGAGGCAGGAGAAGAGGGAGGGTAAGTTGCTTCCTCCCTGCCTCTCCTCACCCCTGCCTGCCTGGGGCCAGGGAGGGCCTTCACGGGGCTTCCTTGCACTCCCGCTGGCCTTGCAGGTCCACCACCGGGCCCCTCATGGGGCTCGGCAGTGGAGCTGCAAGGCCAGCGGCGGCGGCCAGGACCATTGGGGGCGGGTGTGTGTGGCCTTATGACACACTTCCGGTGATGTCAGGGGGTGTGGCATATGCTAATGAGTTATGCTAATGAGTTCCCCTAGCTCTTTTTCTACAAAACGACCCCTGCTTCTATCCCTCACTTTGCTCTACGCACCTGGTAAAAATATGATGGTTGTCACCTCCCCTCGAACACTGCCTCTGTTCTCTGGCTGGAGAGAAGCTAAGAAATCACTGCCCTGATTCTTCCCCCTTGTCATGTCTGACATGGCTACTCTTGTAGCTGAGAGGATGAAGAGCAGAATGCAGCATCCTCTGTCTTCTCTCTGGATGCAGCTGGCCAGCAGCCCAAGAGCCCCTGTCATTCATCTTCTTGCCCTAGAATGCACAGCAAGGGGCTTTGGCAGCTTTTCCACTCAATGTTCTCCCTCCTTGACTCTTTGGCAGAGGGACAGGTCAGCCAGTTACCCAAGAAGCCTGCTGATTTTCCTAGCCAGGAACACACTGCTGTGGGCTGGGACACACTCCTGCCAGTCGATCCTGTCCCTCTCTCTCCTGCCACTGAGGATGCCAGCCTCGAGGTGGGGCCTGGAGAGCTCCTGGAATTACAACTCATCTCCAGAACACAGAGATCAGTTCCCCTGGAGAGAACGGCTGCTTTGGAAGGTGGACTCTATGGCATGACGCCCCGCTGGGGTTCCTCTTCTCCCCAAGCCCTGCTCTCCCCAGGCTGCACCTCCAAATCTCCAGGAATTTCCAATCCAAAACCAGCCATAGCAGGACTTATGGGACTCTGGAGACGGGGAGGGGGGAGGGAGAGAGAGGAGTCCTCTCTCTTTTGTGTGTGATTGGGAGCAACACTTGCGCAAGAATGATTTGTCTTGGTAGCAGGCAAACAGGAACGTGGCTCTGTGTAAGTCTGCTTGTGGTCTTGTGTGCTTTTGTAGTAACTAAAGGAACCTTTCAGTCCCTGTTAAACTCACCATAGCAGGATTCAAGCCAGATGGGGAACTGGCCAGCTTCATGGAAGCCTCCTTGCTATGTGGTTTCCTCCTCCTTTCCATCCTTCCTTCCTTCCCCCCCCCCCCACAGGACAACCTTTGCCTGGCTCTGAGTGGTGGAAGCAAGACCCTGCCCTGGGCCCTGAATGGTCAGGAGGAAGGTGGGCTTACCAATACTTCCAGTAAAGGTGTGGGGTGGACACTTAGCCTCTTGGCCCTGTCCTGTGCCCTAAATCCCACTGCAGCCAATCTACTCTCCAACCACCAGAAGGTCACTGTCATCCCACATCCTGATCATGCATACAGCACAATCATGTGCATGTCTGCTTGGAAGGAAATCCCACCGCGTTCAATGGGGCTTACTCTCAAAGTAAGGGTACACAGGACTGCAGCCTCAGGTGGGTCCTTTTCCCTCCACGTCAAGGGATCATATTCCCCAAAGCATCACATGCCCTCTTGGAGGGTGTTAACTTACAGCAAATCAGCAGGATGACTCCAGTGATGTAGAAGCGTTTCCCTTTCTCCATAGTGAAGAGCTGCACCATGAACATGACCAGGGAGATGAAGGAGAAGATGATGGCCAGGATCATGAAAGCTTGGACTGTCTTGAGGGCAGCTGGCAACACAGGGGAGAGAAAGAGGGAGAGACATGAGTGGGAAGGCACTACCCTGGGGCCAAGGGCAATACCAGTGCAGTGCAAGGCTGCAAACAGTGCAGAAAAAGCAAAGATAACCCTACAGTCACTTACGGAGTTCATCTTCTGGGAAGTGGACATCTGCACAATCATTTCCAAAACAGTCCTGCCAGAGTCCTGATGAGTTTCTGCTGCTTACCATCCAGGCCTACATTAAAACAGAAGAATAATGCATGTTTTTTTAATGGGGTTCTCATTAAGGAAACTGACTTGCCATGCTAAATCTAGGCCCCGGCCAGATGTGCCGGAAAACGCGGGGGGGGGGAAGCACGGCTATTTGCGCCATCGCATTCTGATGTGCTATTGTGTGATCAGACGCGACGGCGGCTTCCCCGCACCAAAGAGGACGACGGGGGAGGAAGCCGCGCGCCGGCGCAATCACACCAGGAGGCTTCCATAGGCAGCCCATGGCAAAGCGTTTGCTAGTACATGCGGTGTACTAGTTTTTTACTGCGCGGCTTCAGCGGCTTGCCACGGGGTCGCCCTGGGAGTGCTACGCCTCCCAGATGTTCCCGTGTGATTGCGCCCGGATACTCCGCGGGACTCCTGTGCCTTCAGCGGGGCAAATGCTCCGTGTGACCGGGGCCCTAGAAAGGCAACTAAGGTCAGTATAGCAACTAGCATTTTACATAATTATATTTACTTCATTTATACCTCACTTTTCTCCCCAGTGGGGGCCGACAGCAGCTTGCATCATTCTCCTCGCCTCTCTGTCCAGATAAAAGGTCTACATTCCTGCACCAAAAGGCTGCTCAAATTCTATAGCCAGAGAACTCCATAATTTGGGAAATATGTATCTTTTTTCTGTTCATTCTGGTTACAAATCTGGAGAAGTCTGGAATAGCATGTTTTGGGGAAAATATCAAATAAATAACAAAAACAATTACTGATGTGGCTGAACACTATACCGGTTTACTCAGCAATCTGGACAGAACATTTGCTCTATTCATAAAGTAGCACAGAGTGATCCCAGGGGTAAAAAACAGCTAACAGTATTCTGGGGTTCAAGACAGAACCTAAGACTCCAGGGGGAAAAGTTATCTGCACAGGGCTGGCCCAATTTATTTTGTCACCCTAAATGAGGGGCACACATCCCCTCCCAGGCCCACACTGCTGGTGGAAAAACCACTTGTGCTGCTGATGTGTTGGGTTTTGAAAATTGGTTTTCAGCAGAGATAAAATAGCTTAGCAATGCCAGAGTAAAATAATTCAGACTCAGAGTCCATGTGTGTTTAAAATAGAAAGTTTTTACTACATTCTAGCATAGGGAAGGGTAATTGGGATGAAAATAACAACAGAGCTAAATGGCTACATCCTTACACTACAAAAGACAAGACTAGAAAAGAGCTATGGCTTCTCTTTCTTTCTCCTTGAGAACTCCAGACAAAGACGGGAAGAGGAGCCATAAAATGCAAAAACACCTTGACACTTTACTTCCAATGAAATTCCTAGATCAGGGAGAATTTTCCCGGGCTTGTAGTCCTAAACTAACATTGGTTACATGAAACATGTGATTTCCTGTGAGCAACACAAACAAACATTTAACCCCAGAAATACTGAGTGTAATTTTAACTTGTAACACCTAACATGATGGCTGGGAAATAACTGACTTGAGTAGCTTGAATTGGCCCTATAGAGAAAGAGCACTCATCTGGTGACAGATATTCCAGAATCTCTTGAAAATCAACAAGTACCAGTGGGAAACTGGAAGCAAATCTAGGGATGTTCTGAAGGGAGCATGGGACAGTGGAGATGCATGCGTGCCCAGTGCCCACTGGGAGCAGAAGCTGACAGAGGGAGAATGGACTGAAGGCCCTGGGAAGAGCATCTGCAAAGTCTTCTATTCAATGGCCCTACTGCAGGCATCCCCAGTCATGCCTTATTTGTTCGTTCTCTCTGTAGCTCTGGAGAGCTATTTTCTTTTAAAGCAGAAAGTGAGATTCTTGGGTAGATACATATTTCATCCAATGCTGATCTTAAACAGAGTGTGCATGATGACTTTTCCAAAGGGCCAGTATCTCGATGTTCAATGAAGCTGAGAGCAGTAAACTCAGTACCACTTGAACCGAATAGTGCAAATGACACTCCTTCCATGAAGCTCTCTGCTTGAGTTACAGCCTCTGAATTGAATGGAGGATGGATTTCCGTAGAAGAATCTGGCCCTGACACACCTTGGTGCTTGGTTGTTGCCTTCTGGCTACAGCACATCAGATACAATTTCGCCTTTCCAGAGGCAATTAGGATGGGTTTGGTCGTGGCTGGAGATGCCTCAGTCTCAGAGAGTGGGCCAGGCAATTTGTGAGGTCCCTCCCAGCCCTTCCATGATTTGCAGTTGCTATAAACATTGTGTGAATCTGCCACCACATTAAATTCTAAGAACAAGCAATTAGTTCTGGGGGAAACTATCAAACAGCTGCCTCCGGGGATCCTCTGATTGAATCTTTGGTGTGGGGTAGGTTCGGACACAAGTGTTAATTTGGTTTTATTGTAATGCTTTTTGACAAAATTGCTAGACACTTGGAAGAAATTATAGATTAGAAAAGCAGGGTATATATAATTTTAATAAAATCTTGGATTTAAGGGGCAGCTGGACTATTGTACTCTGAATCCAATGGCATTCTATAGATTCTTTTAATTTTGTACTATCAAAAATATTAGAGCGCGTTGTGATGTGATAGCCCCTTTTCAAAGACTCTGCCCTGAACCCTCCTTGAGAATTTTTTGTATGGAAAGAGAGGGTGAGGAATATGGTCAGGTCTCACCATAAAAATGGACTCTTCTGTTCTATTTCTCTTGGAGACTATCCAGATATACGTATAATTTTGGGAGTCAGATGCACATTCCAAATATGCTGACCCAAGGAGGCTCCTTATGTCTGCTCAGAGGTAAGTACTGGGCACCTAACAGTCCTAACCAGATTAACTAAGAAATATCCCAAAAATCCAGTGGAACAAATCCTACGAAGTATTGCTTATTAATGGAGGTTTGGTCATAAGTCATTTAAACATCAGTCCCCAAGTGGTTTCTCAGGCACAGTTTATGTTCTGCTTTTCTTCAGCCGTGGAGCTTCAGGTGGCATGCAGAGGGGACTCTGCGTGGCCTCCCACCCAGACCTCCTTAACTTCAGCACACCTTCCAACCATCCCCTGGAACCCACATGAATAAGTCCTTTCTAGAGAACCCGGTAGGGGAACGGCAGCTTTAGACTCATTCCCTAGCAACCCCTAAAAAGCCACAAGCATCCCCCAGATCCCCATACCTATGCCCACAAAACAGGGGCAGACCAGGGAGTGTAAATGGCCCAGGAACAAGCCAGACGGAGTGACCCACTGTGGTGCCAGGAGCCAGCAGAGCTGGGATCAGATGAGACTCAATCAGCAGCACTGACAATAGGCATTGGCTCAGCCATTACCTTTGGCAGCAGTGTGGGAGGAAGCAACTGGAGAGCTGACACCAGTCACTATTGCTGCAGAGAAGGGCTTGAACCAAGCACTGGTGGAGCTGCTGCAGCTTGAGGGCGCCCTTCAGGAAATTTCCTGGTAAGTTAAATGGCCAATCCACCCCTGCAGTTAAACCATTAGGTAGGAAATTAGATGACAGCACTTTTACTTCTTGTTTGCTTCTCTTGTGAAGGCAGTACTTATCTGGGCACGCTTCCTGTCACTTGCCTAATTAAGAGGATGAGCTACCTTTTAGACAACAAACTGCTTGGGGTCATTTCAAGTGTGCAGCTTCTCTGGAGGGCAATCTAAACTGAGATCACGGTACCTGGGAGCAAATTTTCCAGCAATAATCTACACTGCAATTGCCTGACTGAATCACAACAATCTGCAGTAGTGATGAGAACGATCTTGTTCCCTGTAGAGGAATGCTTGCTTGATGAAGTCTGGCTGCTCTTTAGGATTACTGTTGTGGAGCTAGAGCCGCCCTTTTCCGGGGTGCTGTCTTTCAGTTCACTTTACTGCCTCATCTCTATGAATGTATCAAGGAACCTAAGTGCAGTCCTGAGCACCCTTCTAAGTCTATTGAAGTCAGTGGACTTGGAAGGGTATAGCTCTGCTTAGGCCTGCATGGTAAGTGAAGCCTTTTTGTCCTGAAACGCATCCAAAAAAAGGAGTCCCCCCCCTCCTTCTTCCATGTGATATTTGGGGTTCTTGGGGCATATTCGCCTAGCTAGCAGGGCAGGTGGCAGTTGCAGGGAAAGCTGGCATGATTTGTTGGCTTCCAGCACATGGCAAGCCAGTTTATGTTCATCCACCCCCTTACATGTGATTCATATGCTGTTGCTCTACCCCTACTTTTCTTTTTGGGAAGTGTTTGTAGCAGCATGTTAAAAGCCACATTCTGCATAAACTGGGGAACTGAGGATGGGAAGGCAGCGTCACAAGAAATAAAGATGTCTCACAGGAGTCTTGGAATCAGTAGATTTATTAAGGTCCTGTTCACACTAGGTGTTTTGGGACGGGAGCGGGACGGATCGGAGGCAGAGCAAACGGACGTGATCCCACGGCAACATCTGGGAAGCGTTGCCTGCCCATCCCCGATCTGTCCTTTCCGCCCGAAAACCCGCACTACAAAGAACCACCTACCTGGTGGTTCTTCTGCTTGAAGCGCCGCAAGCCGGGCCGTCGGATCGCCGGCGCATCTTTGCGCCGGCTCACCCCCGGCTCCTAGCCGAACTGCGCATGCTCCGACATGCGCAGTTCGGCAGGCTCCCCATCTGAACTGTGTTTTCTCCCCGGCATCTGATTGTGCCGGGGAGAAAAGGCGCCGCGGCCCAGGGGATCGTGGGATCCCGCCGCAGCATCTCAACTTTGGCGCGGCTTTTAAAAGCCGCGCTTTGAGCGACTTATCCCCTGCCATGTGGCAGGGGCCTAAGACTCATTTTGAGGTGAGTTTTTTCCTCAAGGGCAGTTAGACATCAGTTTCCTGACTGTAACTGCTTCAGCGGCCTTTGATAAAGTCATTATGTTACCGGAAGTGCTACCTTGTCAGTCCCTTCAGCTCAGTGTTGCCTACTGTGACTGGTGGTGGGTCTCCAGGGTCCGGGATTTTGTCAACACCTGATCTCTGAGGTCCTTTTGCTGGACAGGACAGAGGTTGAATCAGGGACCTCCTGGTTGCAAAGCATGTGCCCTCCTTTTCATG